AGCGGGGACTGAGCGGGAGAGCCCTGAGGGGAGAGCGGGGACTGAGCGGGAGAGCCCTGAGGGGACAGCGGGGACTGAGCGAGAGAGTTCTGAGGGGACAGCGGGGACTGAGCGGGAGAGTCCTGAGGGAACAGCGGGGACTGAGCGATGGGAGAGCCCTGAGGGGACAGCGGGTCTTGGGCGATGGGAGAGCTCTGAGGGCTGAGCGGGAGCGCCCTGAGGAACAGCGCGGGGCTGAGCGATGGGAGAGCCCTGAGGGCTGAGGAGACAGTGGGTCCTGGGCGGTGGGAGAGCCCTGAGGGGACCCCGCGGCTCCCACCCGGCCCTCAGGAAGCGGGAGCCCCAGGGGTTCCCTCTGAGGCCAGGGGCCCCGGGCAAGGTCGTGCCGGGGTAAAATAAGCAGCATCAGCAGCGTCGCCGTGCTGCCCCTGGAGCTCCCGCTTGGTGTCCTGCGGTGCCCGCCTGCAGTCCAGCCCTGCCAGCTGGGCGGAATGTCAGGGTTGCCGAGCTTTCCCCCTCTGTAATTTCAGCGGTTGTCAAGGACTGAGGAAGAAAACTTGGAAAATGAGCGAGAATTTCGCCCGTGTGTGTGGAGGAGGAGTCCCTGAAAGATGTACTGTTAATTAAAAGAACTCGCCAAAGATGAGCTTCTAATGAACAGGACTTGCCAAAATGTAACTGTATACSGGGTGTTTTGCAAGCCTGAAGATCCCTGGCGTGTCTGGAGGCTTGTGTGTGYGCTCCGTGTTGCTGGGATGAGTCAAGAGTGTTTATTTTGTCAATGCATTAAGTATTTCCCAAAGGAAACGCAGCCGGTGTGGGTGAACAAACTGGATTTGCCGTGGTCTAGATGGAGTATCTTGCTGGGGCTTGAAGGAAAATGTGAGTCGCCTTAGGCAGTAAAGCCTAAGATTCACAAAACTTAAGTGTGTGGGGTGGGGGGTTACTAGGATTGTTTTGTTTTGYTTGTTTTTTACATTTCCTTTTGAACCAAATATTTATATGACGAGCTTCCAAAGCATCTCTGGTAGAGGTCAATAAATGAAATTAAGGAAAAAAAGAAGTGATGGTGAAGTCAATGTGTTTCCTTAGCCCAGTGGCCACTGTCAGTGAGTCACAGCAATGCATGCCCCTGTCCACCTTGACCCTGCTGCCAGGATCCCCAGGGCGACTCCAGGGACAAACAGCTGCTTATGTTTAATGTTATGGCATTTTCACAGGCTAAACATGTTTCTCCGCATCCTTCCAAACTTCTCCATGACGTTGTGAGTCACTCTTCTATCACACCTGATATCCAGTTGCTAAGTTGTTGCAGTTTTCCACAGAATATTTCCTGTCCTGCTTCAATTTGTATCCTACCAAAAAAAAGTTTATACAGAATTTAGTGTGGTTCTTTTTTCTGCTTGCAAGGGGGCAAGATTTTAAAATCCTGTTTAAAACAAGATTTCAGTTTCTATTTCTTGTATTAATCTCTGTTTCAAAAGATGCTGTTACAACTGGTTTGTGAGATCCATGTTCAGTGACTTTCTGGTACTCTTAACACCTGAGTACTGTATCTCTACATTTTGGGCTTGTGCCAACTCTGTTTTTTCTCTTCCACAATAAATACTTTAAGTCTGTTAGCTTCTCCTTCTGAACTTTTCTGCTTCCTCTCACAGTAACTATTTACTCTGTATTTTGACTGTGATTTGGTTTACAAGGAAATAGAATTAATTAGAACTAGTTTGAGGTAGAGATCCAAGTATTATTTGAGGARAAACATCATTAACATAGAGCATGACGACTGGTGACATTGGGACAGTCTGAGGCTGAAAGAAAAGTATTTGGAATGTGTAACTTAAATTTTGTTAGTCTTTTATCTTACAATAGTACCTTGAGAAAAACATGTGCGTAAAAATGTAGTTTTCTAGACGTACCTTGCTTCATGCTTATTTACTGTCTTCTGCACATAAAAATAAGGGGAATCATACTTGAACACTTAGCTGTTCTCTTGCAACACTATAAAGATTTTAAYATGGTGTGATCTAAGGTATGGGTTAAATTGACAAACTCSTAGAACTTCTGACACTCAGTGTGTGTGGTTTGATCTTTCTGTGATGATTCTGCTCCATTCATCAATRTAGATGTGACCTGGGTGTGGGCTGAATTCAGGTGCTGCTGCTGCTCTTTGACCTGACACCCTGAGAATGTGAGAGCCAGGAGGACAGACCGGAAAGGTCTGTTGGATGGACAATCTGCTCACCACCAGCACAGCTCTGAAATAGCAGCTCTGAAAGTGCAGGTGAGTAAAGAAGCACTCTATGGTATATTTTCGTATGTGTGATGTTTGGTTTTAAGTTTATAAGTTGTTAAGTTATATTGAACAAATGAGACCTGTCTCTTTTTAACAACTTTGTCCATTACCATAATTGTCCTGGGTGGACAAGAACATTTTAAATTGAGGGTTTTGTGATTAAAGATTTCAGATRTTACTATAGAGTAGTATGTAACCACCCTGCTATTTCCTGCAGCATGTGATGCTATTCYTACATATGTCCCACCATACTCCAGCTGGTCTATTCTGGTACAGTAGTCAGCAGAGCTGACTGGATTTAATCGGTGCATTGTACATAGGATGTGAAGAGTGCACTGTGAGACACAACGCAATGCAACCACAGGGCTGTGCAGTTAGCTCAGCTAGTACATATTTTGATGCAGACCTGGTTGTGGATGAAGTAGTTTTGGTTCTGTTCATGCTGGTCAGCTTGAACTAGTTCAGGACATTGAAACCAGTACAACTGGTTCAAGGTGAGAAGTGAGCTATTTGAAAGTGAGTTTAGGCTTTCYCTGGGGCCTTCCCAGGTGCCTTAGCCCAGTCCTGCGGGGCCCGGGTGCCGGCGGGGCACTGCGGTACCTCTCCTCASGGGGTGCGTGGGGACCTTGTGCCCAGGGGCCGGAGCAGTGCTGTGGGGAGTGGGATGCCGCGATGCCCGCCGCTGGCACCGGTGCAACCCGGCGGGCAGGTGCGGTGCGGGAGGTGGGGGACCCTGGAGGCTGCTGGGGCAGCTGACCCAGGCAGGTAGGCGCGGCTGCGATGCTCCGGCAGCAGCGATTCCACCCCGGCTACACTGCCGGGGGCGCGGGGCATTTCTGCGTTGAACAAAGGCACGCGTCGGGCTCCGGCCAAGGCTCCTGGACCCGCCGCCCGCTGCGCATGGGAAGGCGTTGGTGCCCCGCGGGACGCGCCCACCCCCGGCGTTGCGGGCTCGCCCCCCGGTGCCCGCACGCGGCGCTGAGCAGCGGCCCCCGCCCCGCCGAGGCGGGACTGCGCAGCGCGGGCGGGCGGCGGCGCCGCCTCGGCATCCCCGTGACGCGGAGCCAATCAGGGCCCCGAGCTGGCGCTGCCGGCCCGGCCCCGCCCGCCGCCGCCCGGGCACGGAGAGCTGCGGACGGGGAAGCGCTGCCGCGGGTGCCCGCGGTCGCCTCGCCGCGCCCCATGGGGATCGAGAGCTTCTGCAGCGCGGACGCTTCCGAGCCCTTCTGGGTGAGCGGCGGGACGGGGCCGCGGCGGCGCGGCTCGGCGGCCGGTGCCGGCACGGAGGGATGGCGAGGAGCCGGGTGGGACGGGGATGGTGGCGGAGCCCGAGGGGGCTGCGCCCGGCAGTGGGGAGCGGGAGCTGSAGCCTGCGCTCCAGGTGCTGCCCAGGGCAGAGCGCGGGGGCTACGGTGCGCCCCGGCCGTGCGGGGCATGAGCACCGGCGCGGAGCGGCCGCGGGCCGGCGGAGGGGCCGGGCCGTGGCCGGCGGCTCGTGGTCTYCGCCTGGCCGCGATGTCCCCGGGGCCGGGTCGCAGAGCGGACGCCGGCACGCCTCGTGCGCCGTTTTTCCGCCAGGGAGATGCTTGGAGGGGACCTGGCGAAAGGGTGCCTGCCCGGGAGGCTGGGAACGAGCTCCCGAGTGACCGGAGCAGCTCTCTGCCCGCCGCCTTTGGCCGCTCGGCTGCCTTCCTCGGGGCCGTGCGGCTAACAACAATAACGGTGTCTGACGGCTGCYGTCACCCGAGAGCGGTGTGTGCTTGGAAGGAGGCCACAGACGCGCTTTCTGCTGCTTTATCGCATGTTTGCTTAGCAGTATTTTCGCTCTTCCTTAACGAATAGTGGTCAGCGCAGGTGCTGTGGGTGRACGGAAAGCCAGCTCTGCACAGGTGAGCGATATAGGGGCGCTGCGGTGGTGTCTTGCTCAGCTGAGACATGGGTTCCTGTGCGGAGACACGCGGGTCCTGGTAGCTGCGAGGCACCTAGAGAGCAGGACCGGAGGGAAAATTCAACTCAGGAGCAAACTGTTGTATGTAGAAGGAGGTTGTGGGAGGAAGGGAAAAACTGGAAGTAAGGAATAAACATGGAGTGAGAGCAACACACGGAAAGGAACTACTTGGTATTCATCAGATATCTGCTAAATAGTGTTGAGTTAATGAGCTGTCTTAGTACTTAAAAAATAAAAGAATCAGATGTCTCAACAAACACCCTTGTACTGTTTGTCTCAAGAACCACTAAGCTGTTAACTAAGATGTTATTGAGCAGATATTTCAAAACTCAAGACTAAGACATTTAGTTGTTTCCAGCTATCAAAAGTTACTCAGTTAACTTGCAAAAGCTTACATTGCWTATACTAATATCTCTTTTCAGCTATTTCTCATGTTTTTCAGAACTGGCTAAATTATGAGTTGTCATTATGGGTATTTTTTTGCCCCTTCCTAGAATGAGACTTTTTACTTGAAGGGCTTAAGAGAATAGATATTTCAGAAGTAGTTTATGGAAAAACTGACTTGAGAGAGAAGTAATATTGTGAGAAGGAGCTGCCAGCTCATTCTTTGAGCTGTGTAATTGTAACATCAGGTAGATGCAAGAACTACACTTAGGATGTTGGACTAGTTTACGTAGGTTTTCTGACAGCAGATTCTTTTATTAGCAAAACTGTTCTCACATGTACTACAGCCATTTCTGATATTTGTGATGTGTCATAACTACTCTACTCCATACATTTTTTCCACAAATTGATTCCCAGTGTTTTGCAATTTGTCATCCTTTTCCAAATCACATGGACTCTGCCTTTCATTTCTTCCAGCGAAAGATCCTGTGGGTGTGGTTGGTTGATTTGTGGATTCTTCTAATCCTGCAGAGGAACAATTATGCATTTGAGTTGGAAACATCTTCCTTCATGCTGAACTTGTCTGTTTCCTCTCAAACTTTCTCCACTTCGTTGTTGCATCATTCCCAGTAGGGGAGAGTAGTACTGCCAATTTGGGTGCTTATGGGTACTCTGGCTGCTGCTTTTTCTGGCATTTCCATTATAGCTACTATCTGAAGCTGAAGTTGTAGAGGATTTTCAGAAATTGTCTGTGTTCATGCAGTGTTTACTGGGTTTTTAGATATGTCCTGTGGTTGTGCTGCTGTTCTTCCTGGTTTCTGGGGTGCACTCCTGAGCTTCTCAGAGCTGGGTGATAGCTGGATGCACAATGGCACGCATTACTGCATTCTTGTGTTGGCTGCATCAGTTATTTTTGTTGGTTCTGAAGCCTTGCTACTGGAGCAGATGGATTTCTGGCAAACTCAGCTTCAAGGAGAAGTGTTTTCTCTCAAAGGTGATCCTGAGTTTGGGACAACTCAGTTTTMAATTGTGGGGAGACTGTGGCTGAAAGGACCTAATGGACCCTTAAAAMTGTATGCTAATCTTCTTAGGCTTTGCTGGCCAGGATTTTTCTTGTTTGCACACCCAAGGAATGTTATTGTTGAAAGTTCTTGTCTGRGAATTAAACAGATTGGTTTTATTTAATACTTACTCTGAAAGGTCAGGAACCCAAGGAAGTTTGCCATCTTCTTCGCTTCATTATTTTTTTCTTTCTCACTGTCTAACCTATCTCTATGCCCCTACTCAATGTATTAACTTCATTACAATGAGATTTGTTTTTATAACTTYAAGCATCTTGCTTCCTTTGAACCACACTCCCTTTTTAGATGAGTACTGTTAACCCTGGCTTGTTCTAGCATCACTGAGTGTCTGAGACTATATTAGAGATGGAATATTCAAAGCAAGCTACAACTGTGCAAGATAAAGTTACTATTTACTGATAGCTGTTGATGACAATAAAATATTTAAAAACTATAGAGGACTTGGAGTAACATTTTGCACTACTTGCATTCCAGTTCAGTGACTTCAAGGGCCTGTTCCAAGCTGAGAAACTTTAAAATTGACATACTGAGATAGCTTTGGATAGAGTAGCGCTGCTGTCTGARTGCAGTCTACCTTGTTTCAGTATCAGCACACAAAAAAACAGAGGTAAAGCAGGGTGAGGAACTCTGTGATTCCAGGTAAGCAGGATAAGTGTCACAGCAGATGTAGAACTCACTGTACACTTTGGCCTCCTGACCTGGCTGGCTGGATATAGACGCACATGCCCAGTTGGTRGTCTCAATGTATTTACATTTTGAAATAGTCTGCTGTTTCTTCTTTGAATAAAATTTTGTTTTCAGTTTTTTCAGAACTTGTAAACTCTGTAGTATCACATATAGAGAAGCCTTTTCATATTTGAAATTGCTAAAGGGAGAGGTTAACAGTTTTTGTGACGCTTGGAGATTTCAGAGCTCTCAATAGGGTTTTAGGAAAAAGAAGTGAGAAATATACATCTGAAACTTTCACAATTCTTGCTTATACTTAAGGGAATGAGATAAATGGCTTATATTTATCTAAGCTCCTATCATGTCATTCACAGGCAGACACTGTTTTTTAAATTTAGTTTAGATAGAAGTTAACTTCTTTATTTCAGTGGCAATTTAGCAGATTTTTTTTCCACAGTTTTCTAGTTGGGCTTTTCGTTGTGGAGAAATGACTGAAAGCAAATAATTGCATTCACTTCTAGGAAGAAAGCAAGTTTTCAGCTTCTCTGTCTTGTTTTGAGAACGAGAGTCCTGTAATGATTAAAGCTGTATCTCTAGCTGTGTAAACCCTGGCCTAGTTCTTCCCTGTTGATTTAGAAAGCTTTTGTGAACCCTCTTCACTTTTAGTAAAGAAATGGTATCCACACACTGTTCTAGGTTTAGCACTTCTTCATATGAAGCCTAACTACCAGAGAAAAACAATGGATGAGTGAAGGTGAGACAAAGCCTCACATAAAATGTAGGGACCAACTTGGAAGAACTGGGCTTTGCTTCCTTTGCTGTTGTGTAGAATTCTGTCTGATGCTTTCAGGCATGTTTGTCTGCCTAAATAAATGTATTTTCTTAGTGTTTCTCCAAAGACATTATGTTTTGTATTTGGTTGACGTTGTAGTGGGAGACATCTATAATGTGGCTTGATAGAATTTTACTAAGAAAGAATGTGTTAATATTCTTTAATAGATTACAGTTACTAGCTGACATTTGTGAGGTGACACTATATGGCATCAACAGCTGCTGTGCTTCTATTGTTTATGAGGACATGAGTAGTTTTACTGAAATAGACTTCTGAAGGAAAACCAGACTTGTTATGTAAGGMGCAGTTTCATGTTCTGAAGGTCTGTGGCTTGTGCTGTCACACATCAGATAGGCAGTAAATTGGCACTCTCTTGGAWCTCTGGAGCTTTTTGCACTGTAAGATATGTCTTCACTGCTTTTTCAGWGTGTTTGTGGCACAGCTAGGGAGGGGGAGGGACTTGGAGGTGCTGTGGGAGGGTACTGGGGGAGCTAGATACAACCTGAGTTCAGCCTCTGCTGRAGARTGTGTGGATCAGGAAACTACTTACATTTGCTGACACTGGGAGGTCATATGTGCACAGCATTTGGAACAGAGGAGTAGCAGAGTGTTAAACAAGAAAACCGTTACATAAACCAGGGCTTTATTGCAATTAACAGCAGATTGTAGGATTCTTATGCCTTGGCTGTTGTGTTTTTTAGCAATGAAAGTCAGAGTTWTCAGCTTTCTTCCTTTTTAGAACAAGGGTATAAATGTGCATAGAAAAATTAAACTTAGATTAGAAATGAAACTGATACCCCTTGATCCAGAGTAGATCAATTTAAGGGAAATACAGGGAAATTAAGCCTGATAATCTGTTGTTGATGGGGATTTTCTGAACAGATGACCTGTCATTCTACAGCTGTCAATTCAAGGTGGCTCAGAAAAATTAAATGAGGAAAAAACCACAGCARAATGCTTGACTAAATCGTGCTGTTTCATGCAATTACAATGCAGTTTACATTGAAACACTGTGCTATACTGGGACCAAGTGAAGGTCAACCCGGGTTGTGCTGAAGTCACTCTGGGTCACGTCTCTAAAAAGCCTACTGCAGGGTACTGACCTTTTGCTTACTTTTAATAGAGTCAGAATTCCTTGCATTACTGTTTTCTCACTCTTTGCATCTGTGGTAGCTTCAGATACAGTTTATCCCAACTTAAGCTGTTACCTTAGTCTTTTGGTAAGATTATTACCCAGGTGTGTTCAGACTTCTCAGGGATTTCAACTCATCGTACAGGCTGTTGCATTATAAAGCAGAAGCCCTGGTTTTGGTGCAAT